GGGACTGCATCTGTGGAAACACAGAGTTTTAGAGGGTTCAAGACGCTGTTGCAGTACCCTTCTACAGGAATTCTTTCCATATAATTCCCTTTCATCCTCAGATGGTCAGTGAAAACTAACAGGTCCTTTCCCTCCACAGAACACCTATGTGCTGCTCATCAGAATGACTCTGCCTATGACAGCCCAGACCCGGAAGCAGAAAGCAGCCCCCATACCTCTCAGTTGGAGCAGCCCAAAGGGAGGAGCATTAGTGTGAGCAGAAGACACCCAACACACATCTCATCCCCTTCACTGGATAACCTCAGAAATTACATCAGCACGATGGACAGGAGGTACTCAGCGCCAGACCTGTTCTTCCAGAACCACCTTGAAGGCAGGATAAGGAAACAGAAACTAAACAAAAGTGAGGACAATTTCCCGGTTCGGCAGAACCCGTTTGGGTTGGTGGCATTGGAGAAGCAGCTTGTAATCTTACCTTCACCATTATCAACTGACTCTCTAGCCAAAACATCATCCAGTTGCTCCCTGGAGAGCTCAGATGGCTCGGTCTTCACCAGCTCCCCAGTAGTTTCACCTTCTAGTCCCAAAAAAGCCTTTTTAAATAGACCACAGTCCTTTTCCACCAAGGCCACTGAAGACTGCAGCACACCTAGCAGAGAAATCAAAAAGCATTCCATGTCATTCTCTTTTGCAAACCATAGGAAAACACTAATAAAAACCCAGAGTTGGGGGCCTGGAAAAAACATGGGGTTTCAGAGAGACAGTTTCACAAAGAAAGAAGATGAGTTCTCCTGCAGAATTGTCCAGGGGAACAGCCCTGATGATGACAAACCATTGCCCGTGGCGTTTCAGCAAAGGCCCCGTTTCAGGTCAGCTGTTGAAGTGTTCAGAGAGGTAGACCAGAGGAATCCTGGAAAACCACCCTCTTACGAAGAGGCTACCAAGAACTGCCTGGCCACTAAAATTCCCTCCCACAATCTCACAGTTCAAACTATGAGATTAAAGGTGTCACACCAGGATGCTTTGCCACCTCATCCATGTAGCAGTTGTGCACAGGACGCAGCATATACGGCTTTAAGGGATGTACCTAGTGGCAGAGTTCCTGCAGCAAAGGATCTTGACATGGAAACAGATACCCTCAGTGTCACTGTGGGAAAAAACTCTCGTGTGAGTTTACCTGTGACCCCGGGAGTCTACCGACTGAGAGCCATGTCTGAATCCTGTCAAAAGAACAAACCGGAGTATGTGGCTCGGAGGTGCAGCCAGCCAGTTTTTGAGGTAGACCAGATCCCGTATGCTAAGGAATCCTATGTATAAAGAGCCTATCCCTTCTCTTCGAACTGTACAAAGTAAATATTGCCAAAATAGACATCTTACTCATCCTTACTTTCAAGAGACCAAGAATAAGCTAGCTCTGCATTGACGTTTTTTTCTTGAGGCTCTCCTGAAGTGTCTGTCAGCTTGAAATGTCACATTATTTCACCACGAGAGGTGGTGGGGAAGACCTGTGTATTATTATGTAAAAATGTAAGTGAATATGCTGTACATAGCCTGTTGTGTGGAAAAACTAATTAGTAGTTGATCAACCGTGTTGTATCTGTATCCCTGAAAGGGCAATTAAAAGGTTGCCAGGTCCTAAATCTGTCCCACCTTCCTTTTCTGTAGGGTCACAGACTCCATGCCATTTGTCACGTGTGTGTGCCAGGCTGATGCAGTGCTTTGCTGATTTTCTGCTTGAAGAAGCAGGCTGGCAGTTACCCCAACTGAGGAAGAGTTGTTCTGTCACCAAGGCCACTTCAGTACTCTTCCACAAACACCCTGTGCCTGTTGCCATTCCCTCTTCCTGCTTGCTGGGGGTGAGAATGATCTGATCGCTAACCAGCACTAGTGTTGTATAGCGAGCCTGGGTTTAGAGCCACCGAAGCCCTACGAGGTTATTATGGGAATGTATGGAGGAAACCTCATGTGGCCCGAGATGCTGTTAGTCTAAATAAACTGGACAGGCTAAGCAGAAAGAAACAGTATCTCTAGGTTGGCTTTTATGAGGTGGAAAAAACCCTAAACAACAAAAAGGAAACATTCTGGATTCCAGCTTTAAATAGTCAAAGCTGCAGCTCTTTGTAAAAGAAAAAAAAAAAAAAAAGGACAAAAAACGAAAATACCAGGTGGTGTCCATATAACCTTGTAAAAATGACTGGAAGTGCAATGTGATTTTACATGTAGGAACTTGTTTTGGTTAGCACTTAACCTCCCTTTCCTTTCATGGCTCAGCATAGCCTTGAACCAGGAGCAGGGAGACTTTTGTTTTTCTCCTGTGTAACTTCACTACAATAAAACATTTCTCTGCATGAATGCTAAACTGTCCATTGCCTGCCTTTAAAACACCCAGGCACGAGAGGTACCGTGCCTACTTTTACACTATTCTGCAGGTACTGCAGGTCTGCTTGGATGACACGGCATACTTAAGTAGCGGGAAGGAAAGTAACTGGCCCACAGTATCACTACTATGGTTGTAAGAGGCTGCAGGCTAGATTCTGGGAACAAATCCCTCTCTGCCAGGAAAACAAATTACACTGCCATGTAACAGTAGTCATCAGTGAGGTGGAGAAGGAGCTGCAAAGAGGTGATGGCTGCTTTGAAAGTGGAGCAGTGTAGAAAATAGCATTCCGGCACCTCAGGTATGTCGTTTTCAAGGTGTAGGTGTTCGCGGGACACAGAGAAAGGGGAGGGAGAGCACCTGGCCTGACAGGAGAAACGATGCAAGAAGGACCATACTGGTAGGCTGCAACTAGAGAAAATGCCACCTCACTCACTCCCCCTGAGCAGTGACACTGCTTCCGAGCAAGGTGAATGAGAGGGGTCTGCTGCAAGCTGCAGAAGGCATTTCCCATTTTCTGGAATCTGCAACTCCTGAGTCACAGAAGCACAGAATAGGTGAGGCTTGAGACTCTCCTCTCCAACTCCCCTGCTCAAGCAGGGTCAGCTAGAGCCGGTTGCCCAGGACCATGTCTACCTGACTTTTGAGTATTTCCACAGATGGAAACTCTGCAACATCCCTGAGCAACTGGTTCCCATGTTTGACTCCCCTCACAGTGAAAAACTGTCTCCTTGAATTCAGATAGAATTCCATGTGTTTTAATTTGTGCCAAATGTCTCTTGTCCTGCATTGAGTGGGAATGACAGTTATCTTTTGTGAAAAACACAAGCATCTCGCCCCCACGGCAGAACAAGTGTGAGGAGAGAATCCTAGTGCAAAGGCTCAGAGGCCACAGAACAGAAAATAGAACCTTCAAAATGTACTCAAACTATAACACAGCTACTTCTTTGGTAAGCATCACATTCTTTTTGACTGTGACAAGACTAAAGATCTCAAGAAGAGGAACTGCTCGTTTCCTGTCCTGTAACTACAGGCTGAATAAGCACGGTCACTTCAGCAGAGATGAGGAGTGTGTCTCTTTGGGTCCAAGGTGTCCTAAGGCAGACAAGACAATCATGCTCAGAAGCTTACCTGGGCTCTAAATATTCAATATAGATGAGCCTAAATCTTCCAGTTCCTGGGTAAGAAAGCCCATTTGGAACTTCTTGTAAGGCACTTCAACAGACAGAGAAAAAGGAGGAGAGAGGAGATCTACGCACAGTTAACAAACAAGGGGTAAGGTGAAAGAGTTGTACAAAGGAGTGGCCCAGCCCCCTCACCTTGCTCTTGCATTTCTCCAAGTCCAGGAAACACCTTGGTTAAACAAAATCTGAATTTAAATGGACCCCAAAAGAAATTTACTCCCTCATTGACAGATAACTTTTGCCTTCCTCTATCTCTTAAGACTTGGCTGTTTAGTCAGCAATATTTTCTTGTCACGTCCCTCCACAGAAGTGATTTCTCTTCTATATAAGCAGTCAGGAGACCTCAAAAGACTAGAATGTCATAGAAAGCAGAGACCTTTGCTTTAGCACTTACTCATCTACCTTCAGCTCAGAAAACAGTTTATCATGCCACCAGCCCACAGTACCACATTCAGGGATGCAGCCCAACTGTCCTGGACTCCAAGAGTATGGCCCCTTAACTGCTATATCCAACAGGTGAATTATCTGAGTGTAGTTCTCAAAGCTGCCTTTGACTCCTTAGCCCAAAAAGGACTATCAGGATAAATAAAATACTTTTGCCTCCACACAAGCAGCTTTTGCATACAGCTGACCCATGTAGCTCTGCTTCTATATGAGGGTAAGCCCAAGTCTACCCCAAGGCTTAATTTCCCAAGGGCTGCTATTCTCACTGATAACACCGGTGGATGCCTATCGTAACAGATCATAGAATCATGGAATGGTTTGGGTTGGAAGGGACCTTAAAGACCATCTAGTTCCAACCCCCCTGGCATGGGCAGGGACACCTTCCACTAGACCAGGTTGCTCAGAGCCTCATCCAGCCTGGCCTTGAACATTTCCAGGGATGGGGCATCCACAGCTTCTCTGGGCAACCTGTTCCAGTGCCTCACCACCCTCTCCGGGAAGAACTTCTTCCTGATATCTAATCTAAACCTCCCCACTTTCAATTTAAACCCGTTACCCCTTTTCCTGTCACTACAGGCCCTTGTAAAAAGTCCTCTCCCAGCATCCTTGTAGCCCCTTCAGGTACTGGAAGGCTGCAATAAGGTCTCCCCGGAGCCTTCTCTTCTCCAGGCTGAACAAGCCCAACTCTCTCAGCCT